ACTGATTTAGCATCGAGCCACACAGTGACTGCTGGCCAAAAGCTTGATGAAGCAGTAAGATTTGTAGGAGTGTTTTAAAGGCAGAATGGGAGGTGTAGAGAGGCAGAGAGGTTTAGGGAGGAAATTCCAGATGGAAGGGTGTACCAGACAATGAAAGGCAGAGACACAGACAGTGGAGTGAAATGGAGGAGTGCGGAGATCTGATATAAAAGCAAAATATTGCAGATACTGGATACTGGAAATAAAGACAAAATTAGCTGAAGAAACAGAGCAGGTCTGACAACATTGGTGGAGAGAAAAACCGTTAATGTTTTGAATCCAGTAGGACTCTTCTGGGTCACAGTGGAGATTGGGTGGCTGAGGCTAATGGAGAGAATTTGATAATGAAAGAAAAATGAGGTTTTCCAGAACTGAGTCGATGTGAATTTGTGAACACTGGAGTGATGGGTGAAGGGGCAAGCAGTTATTGAATGAGTTTGCAACTGCTATAAATCAGAAACATATCCAATGTCAAAAATCTGAGCTGCAGGAGAGGGAGACACAGTGGAAAATAAATTTAGAACAGCTCTGGGGAATATATTCTTTGCACAAACAAGTATCAGAAAAAGTCTAGAATTATTTAGAAAAATGAGGAGGGGAGGATATTTTGGGATATTTGAGTAAAGCTGCGCAGTGTTTAATGACCTTGCAGTTTAGCTGTTAGATTAAATTGATGTTGTGCCATAATAACACACTGAAGAAGAAATCTCTGGAGTAAACAGATTAATTCATTAAAGAGCTGCTGTTTATTTATTTAATTAACATCCAAACAATTCTCAGTTACGTTGTACTGGACAGTGTCTCCTCGCTGCCTTTAATCTTTAACCTCTATCCACCTTATGTTTCAGATGTGTTGAAATTATCTGTTTTGTATTTTACACAGTTTAGCAAGCCCACGAGCGAAAAAGAAAGTCATGCTTTCAAATGGAAAATACAAATGGAAAGTGTCGCTTTGGCGACTTGATGGGTCGGTGGGTCTCTTCAGTACTATATGATTCTACGGCAACATTATTAGAAATTCAGCAGAAAGGTACCAAATGCTTTCTGTGATGTTTGAAGAAATGAAAGCTCCGTGTTTAACTTTCAAAGGTGCAGGGTTTGGCAGCAGTTGCAAACTAAAAAAAAGACGATTTTATTTAAATTAACCCTCAATTAACTCGATAACATCTCCCTTAGTGTTGACTCGCCAGACAGGTAGATAGATTGGCCGTGCAGTCTGCGGGCGAGAGAGAGGGAAGCCAGGCTGAGAACGAGCACCAGGCTGAATGCACACAAAAATAATCTCAGGCCACGATAATAAAGCAGAGATGGTATCTACACGATGGGAATGGGTAAGCTGTAAGAATTAAAGCGGGGTGGAAAAATGGGTTGAAGCAAACCAGTCAGAAATACATCAGGCTGCAAGTGATATTATCTGATATAGTTCCCTATATTGTTTGTATTTCCCTAACCGTGGCCCGTTCCCAAATATTTTTTTCATTTGTGGTTCCAACGCTATTGGGCAACTTTTCAAAATAATGGTCTAAAGTGTTTAATTTATCTAATAATATTTACACCGAGGGCCGTTTAAGGTGAGGATTGGGTTACACTCACATTCAAACAAGTCTAACATTGACAATAAAACCTCAGTCTCAGTAATTAAATGCCACCGCCGTGAACTAACCTCTATCTTCACGGTCCCTTCCTCAAGTTTTCTGATTTTGGAATTGATATGACAAGATTTTAAATAGTCGAGGCATTGGGAAAGAGAACTACCAGCTGGCGGCATGGGAAATAATACATGGAATTTATTACAAATCGGATCCATTACAAATGGAGATCCCAATGTAAATCGCAAATATAGTCTGGTACAATTCAGTCAGTTGTTACAAAAAATATCAACAAGTTGATAGGTGGAACATTTAACATATTACAATCTGAAACATTGCAATCTGATATTACAGTCTTATACCTTATAAATGTGTACATTACAATCTTATACGTTACAATTTGATATTATCGTCTGGGACGTCATCAATCTAATGCCCTATAACTCGCTAATGAAACCGCTCATAAAACTCAAGAGGTCAGATAAACAGGCCGTGTCATGGGAAGAGATGCGAACCAGTTTGCAAATCTCACAGCACCTGATCGTGCAGTGCAACTGCACTCCACTGTGAATCCACTTATTCATCTTTCCCATTTAATTTGTAATCTTTTTTTATGTTACTGGAGGCAACCGTTTTATGATTGCTACAATCATCTGTCTCCTAGCATTAGAAAGCCAAACAATTCTTCAGCATATCGCTCCGAGTGCCAACACGCATAAAAGAAAGCTGGTTTAGAGACGAACGCAGATTTGCATAAAATAAAACAAAGAACTGCGGATGCTGGAAATCTGCAACAAAAACAGAAATTGCTGGAGAAACTTAGCAGGTGCGGCAGCATCTGTGCAGAGAAAACAAAGTCAGCATTTCGAGTCCAGTCGGTTCTGAAACATAGTCACCGGAACCAAAATGTTAAGAAAGACTTGCATTTATGTAGTGCCTTTTCATGGGTGGCCCAAAACATTTCATAGCCAATGTAATGTTTTTGAAGTACAATCATTCATGTAATGAAGGAAACAGACAGCAAGATTTCACCAGGACAGAACTGCCATTCAGTGAATAAGTCTGGAACATAAAATTTGTCTCAGTAATGGTGACCGTGCCACCTATCATCAACTATTGGTACAAAAAAATCTAGTTCACTAATGGCTTTTATGAGAGAAAATCTGCTGCGCTTACTTGGTCTGACCTAGTTGTGACTCCAGACCAACAGCAATGTGGATTGACTTTTAACTTCCTTCTAAAATCATGGAGCAAGCCACTCAGTTCAAGAGTGACTAGGGATGGGTAACAAATGCTGGCCTTGCCTCACCACATCCCATGAAAGAATTGTAAAAGCCACACTGAGTAGCTAACTTGCTTTCTCAGTAATATTCATGTTGACCATGGGGAGATCTTCATTGCTTTTCTTGGTGTGGTTCCACAGGCATGATTTATGGACACAGGAGAATGGTCCCAAAGATCTTAATGAAAGGACAGCTCCTGTGACAGTGTAGGGCTCCTCCCATGCTGCTAGCCCGCATTTTGTGCTAATGTCTTTAGAGCAGAACTTCAACCCTCAACCTTATGACTCAGAGGTCAAAGCACACGCCACTGGGCTAAGGATTGAAATCTGCTCCTTAAATTTGCCATTGATAAATCCGACAATGGTGGAATAAATCAGGTCCAGGTCGAATAAATCATTCAGTGGCATTAGTTTTGAATTGTTGCAGCAAAGTGCTAGCACAGATACAACGGACTGAAAGACCTGAGGTTCAATGATTGAATCCTTGATAGTTCAAATAAATCCAACATGAGTAATCTAACATGGGCAGTATGTCAATAGATTTGTAATCTGACAACCTGGGTTAATGCTCTGGCACATGTTTTCCAATATCACCATGGCAGGCGGCAAATTAAATTTGAATTCAATAAAAGATCTGGAATGAAAGCATGATCAGTCAACTGCCAGACAACTATTGTGGAGTATTGTAAAAAAAAATCTTGTTCACTAATGTTGTTTAGGGAAGGAAATCTGCCATCCTTACATGGTCTGGCCTACATGTGACTCCAAACCCACAGCAATATAGTTGACTCTTAACTGCCCTCTGGGCAATTAGGTGTGGGCAATGAATGCTGGCCTAGCCAGAGATGCCTGCATCCTGCAAAGCAATAAAAAGAATTACTGTACCAAACAGAAAAGGCTGGAAACTCTCAACAGGTCACACAACAGGCCTCTTGTGGGGTACTGTGTGCAGTTCTGGACACCCTGTTAGAGGGAGGATGTTATTAAGCTAGAGACTGTTCAGAAGAGATTTATTGGGATCTTGCTGGGAATGGAGGGTGTGAGTTATAAACAGAGGATGGATAGGCTGGGACTTTTTCACTGGAGGTTGAGGGGGTGACCTGATAGAGGTTTGTAAAATCATGAGGGGCACGGATAAGGTAAGTGGCAGGTGTCTTTTCCCCAGGATGGGGGATTTCAAGACTAGTGGGCATATTTTTAAGGTGAGAGGAGAAAGATTTAAAAAAGACATGAGGGGTATTTTTTTTACACAGAGTGGTTAGTATGTGAAATGAACTTCCAGAGGTGGTGGATGCAGTTACAGTTACAACGTTTAAAAGGCATTTGGATAAGTACATGAATAAGAAATATTTGGGGGGATATGGGCCAAGCACAGGCAGGTGTGACTAGTCCAGTTTGGAATTATGGTCGGCATGGACTGGTTGGACGGAAGGGTCTGCTTCCGTGTTGTATGACGCTGTAACATCTGTGGAGAGAGAAAACAAGAGTTAATGTTTGGAGTCTATTGACCCTCCTTCAGACTTGATTACAAAAATCTGGCTCCACCAAATTTGCCCTGGGCAGATTCAATCCTGTATGAGGTCACTTACAGTTTGGGGTGAATTACTGGTTTGGAGTGAATCCTTTAGACTGGTTGAGCCTATCTCTGAGCGAGGAGCAGCGGTGAGCTGGTAACTAATAGCCCATCGATGGTGTCCCTACACTGGGATTGCTTTGGTTGGAGAAGTGGGGGCAGGGATGTGTTTGACGGAGAGATGATGTTGCAAGGAAGGTGCAGGGAGAAACCTGTTTACCTTTGCAATTCACTGGGGCCGGGCAGAGATTGAGCTGTGTGGGTCAGTGCAGAGCAAGCAGATGAAGGCTTCAGCTATTGACAGAGGAACTTAAGCTCCGAGCTGATTGAAGAGCTCACTTTGAAGTCTGTCAGAGGTGCTGAAACTCAGGATGACGTGGTTCAGAGGGAGGGTGTTTTTTTTTCAGAAGTGAGTTTCAGGTGAGTTTGGACCCCGCCAACTCTCTCTCTCTCCCTCACAGGTACACACACACACATACACACACACATTTACTTGGCCTCAGGTGGCATCTCCAGTATGTTCCGTCCCGGCCAGTTCCTGCCCCCGGCACTCGCCACTGGGATCTTCTCCCCGCACACAGGCCACATCTGCCCAGCGTTCTCTGGCCGGATCCCCTCGTCCCCGCTCTCCAGTGTGCTCCTGCCTCCCACTCCCATCCTCAGCTACGACCTGCTGCAGAGTTACGCTCCCCCGGATCCGTGCAAACAGGCGCTGCTGCTGGCTACACAGGCGGCTGGACTGGCCGGAGTGTCCGAATACTCCGGTAAGACAGAGAGGGGGGAGGGGAGGGGAGAGTCAGCTTAACTGTGTGTGTGTGTGTGTGAGAGAGAGAGAGACTGTGTAAGAGAAGGAGGAGCAGGAAACTGTCATTCAGTCCCTCGTGTCTGTCCGCAATGCAGCCAGATCAATAGCAGGTTTCAACTGTATCCTAACTCCATTTACCTGCGTTCACCCCATAAGATAGTCAATTGCCCTGACTGTGCCGGTAAGAGAGAGAGTTGTGGAGAGAAAAGACAGAGATTGTGTGAGCGAGAAGGCGAGAGAACGCGAGGTAGACGCAATGGGAAACAAGCTAATGGATAAAAGTGATGAAAGCAACGATGAGGAATCAGTGAGTGAGTCCAAAAGGAATTGCAGGATGTCTTTAGGGAGGAAGAATATAAAGGAAAAGTAGAGATGGCCCATGCGACAGGCTAAGACATGAAGAGCTGAGATAAAGAAAGACTGAGAGAACCCCAAATAGAGATCATTACAAACATTAAAACAACCGGCAGAGGGGAGTCAACAGGAGTGGGGGCGGGGAGTGATCGGGGAGCGAGCAGTGAGTGAGAGGAAAGTGGAGGGTTGAAGACCCGAGGAGAGCAAGAGCGGTAAGTAAAGACTCCGTTAGAGATGGAAGATTCAATAAAGAAAGGAGCAAAAACAACAAAGCGACTTTCGTGGGATTCAGAAAGATATTTCACCTAAAAACGCGGGCTTTTATGTGCGAGACCCTGGACGTGTTAGTTTATCTGTTTATAATAAACAACCCCAGTTTGTTTGTGTGTGTGTGTGTGTAGGAACATTCTTGGAGAAACGTGAAGGTTTATCCTCTAGCTCAGTTAACTGACTGATCCAGCCCTAGTTTAGGAAAGTTTCATTACTTGGCTAGTGGATGTAAAAGTTGGGAGATACAAATAACCATCTTCAATGGCCCCACGTCTGCTCCATTCTAACACCGATTAATCTATCTCGTGTTCGTATGCATTGCCAGAAAGTTTTGAATAAAGATAGTAAAATGTATCCAGGGCTCTGCTACAATCACTGGAAGAAATCAATTAAATTCAGCTTCTGATTAACTTGCCTATACATCAAATCTGCAAAAGTTACATCGATGCAATCACTTCATGGCATTAAATGTAATCACGTTTAATTTATATTTACTTATTTGTCTAGCAGGAGTTTTCCGTGTTATGTTTTGTTCTATATTTGTTTTACATTCGAGTTTTTATTCCCCAGTGATAATCTTTCTTCAACTTAATTAACTCCAATGCAGATTTGGTCTTTTTTTTATTTATTAATCTGCATGTTTTATCTTATATTTTGCTTTTGCTGTTTTAAATTTGATTTCTTCCTTGCGCCTTTTATTTGCTTCAGAATTGATTACTGCGTGATGTGTTTGATCTATTTTAGATTTTATTTCTTATCTGTCTGTTTCATGTTTTGGTGTCCATGAATGGTTGTTCCACCAATTTTAGAGTTCATTTATTGCTGTGCATCTGACTTGTTCTGCATCTTTATTAGTATCTTTCTGAATGTATTTTTTTCAGTGTGTTGCTTGCGTCATGTGCTTTCAATGTTTATGAAATATTGCTCAGTGTGGTTTATCCTTTTTTGGGTTATTGTTTTGTGATTTCTGTACTTTTCATATTTCATTGTTAATTCTGCCTTGGTTTATTTGTGTGAGATTTCATTTATTATTACTCTTTGTGTTTATCTGTTATCCCACTTCTTCAGTTTCTTTTATATTTCATTACTTTATGTTTCATTTGTTGCTACTTCTGTTATCCATTACGTTACTTATGCTGTGCATTTTATCTTTTTTGTATTTTCATAGTTTTGTTTGTTAATCTCTGTATACTATATCTTACACTGTACATTTTATCCGTGTTATATTTAATATCTTTCCAGTGGATTATACCTGTCCTCAAAAATCATTGATTATTCTCCAGGTAGTAGCCATTGTATATTTTATTGTTATGCCAGTCTAATGGGGGTAGATTCATCTTCAGAGGTAGCTCAGTTGGTGGATGATAGGGAATTCCTCTTTACATCCTGTCTTATTTTCTTTTCCGTTGACTTCAATAGAAAATAAAATTATATGGCTGTAAACGGGGCTATCCATTTATACACATGCCGTGCTACCTCTCACAATGGATTTCACATCCAACGTGTTTTATGTACTACTTGTTCTATGCAAGTTAAGCAGTTGTAGAAGTCATTTCTTGTTGTGTGATTTATATCTTTTCTATTTAATTTCATGTTCTGTTTTATATTCCATCTGTTTTATGTCAATGGCATTTTGCTTTCTGCTGGTCTGTTTTCTCTTCAATGACTTGATCCAAATATTTTACACGTTCCCTATTTGTTTGATTTGCATTATTTAATGTTTGGCAATATGCTCTTATGTTTGTGGTTTATTTCTTGCTCTGCTCATTTTACCTGCAGTACCTTCCTGCTCTGTTCTTTATCTATTATATATTGCTTTTACTCCTCTATTATTATTTGTTATAAATTTTGTTTCTTGCTTTTTATATTTTAGTATGTATTTTATGTGAAATAATTTTATATGCAGTCTACTGCACTGAGCGTTTCATCTGTCATGTATTTCATTTCTAACAGCGAGCATGTTATAAGTCTATCTTATTTCTTCCACTGTATTGATATCTGGTTCACACTTCACATTTTAACTGTCTTGTATTTTGTTTCTCACTCTACTCATCTTAACTTCAGCAACCTTTAGTGCATGAATCCTATTGGTAATATATTCTTTCTTCTATGTGTTTTATCTGTTTTATGTTTTATTTCTTGCTGGGAATAATTCATCTATAGTTATTTATTAGTTGTTCTGTCTCATTGGTTCATTTGTCTTGTTATCCCAAGTTTAAATGTTCCCTGCACAGAGTAAAATGTTTCTTCATCTCTTATTTGTCTGTTTCCTGTTTTATTGGTCTTACATTTGACTTTATTCTCTGTTACTTTCCCCATTTTATGTGTTTGGTCTTGATCTTTGTGTTTTATTGACTTTATACTCTACTTCTTGATTTCTGTAGTGTAGTTGTTGTATACTTGATTTCTTGCCCTGTAAGATTTATGTGTTGTGTTGTACTCTATTTTAGCCATTAGCTGTTTTTTTTACTAGTCACATTTTCCCTCTTGCTCATCATGCATTATAGTTTCTTTATTGTTGAGTTTTGATCCCTGTGTTTCTTACTCTGTAAACCACATATCTCAAAAGCTAATGGACAAATTTCAACAAAACCTGATACACAGATAGGCTGTGCCCCAAGGAAAAAGTGATTAGTTTTTGACAAAGATGCAGATCTGGATTCTGAAATTGTTTAAAATAAATGTGAGATACAGCATTTTGGAAAGGCAAATCAGAGCAGGTCTTATACATTTAATGGTAAGGTCGTGGGGAGTGTTGCTGAACAAAGAGACTTTGAAGTCCAGATTGGAAGTTCCTTGAATGTGGAGTCTGAGGTATACAGGATAGTGAGGAAGGTGTTTGGTATGCTTGCCTTTATTGATCAATGCATTGAGTATAAGAGTTGGGAGGTCATGTTGTGGATGTTGGTTAGGCCACTTTTGGAATACTGCGTTAAGTTCTGGTCTCCCTGCTGTAGGAAGGATATTGTGAAACTTGAAAGGGTTCAGAAAAGACTTACCAGGATGTTGCCACAGTTGGAGGGTTTGAGCTTTGGGAGAGGCTGGGTAGTCTGGGGCTATTTTCTCTAGAGTGTCAGGGGCTGAGAGGTGACCTTATAGAAGTTTATAAAATCAAAAGGGGCATGGATCGGGTGAACAGCCAAGGTCTTTTCCTCAGAGTGTGTTAGTCCAAAACTAGACGGCATAGGTTTAAGGTGCGAGGGGAAGATTTAAAAGGGACATAAGGGGCAACTTTTTCACACAGAGGGTGACGCATGTATGGAATGAGCTGCCAGAGGAAGTGGTGGAGGCTAGTACAATTGCAATATTTAAAAGGCATGTGGATGGGTACATGAATAAGAAGGGTTTAGAGGGATATGTGCCAAATGCTGGTAAATGTGACTAGATTAATTTAGGATATCTGGTTGGCTTGGATGAGTTGGACTGAAAGGCCTGAATCCATACTCTACAGCTGTATGACTGTAATAGAAATAGTTTACATTAAAATGGCCCCGAATCTGTCCAGGCCCCATAATCTCATTTTCAGCAAGACCATAGTTCATTGATAGCTCTTGTAGTTCATTGATAGCTCTTGTGTTGATTTGGCTCCTATGGGAACTATCCTTAGTTTCATTGGTAAGTGTCTCCTGAAAGGTATCGCCATCTAGGTCCTTAGAGAGAAGGCCTTGAATTCACAGAGGCACCAATTCAATCTGCAAAACCTATGGTAGATTTGAGTGATGCAGCATGATGGATTTATGGCAGTTTCTGGGAAATCTTGTTCACACATGCACAATAAACTTACAATGGTCAAGAACTTAAAATTGAAGGAGTGGATTCCCTTCTGGTTGATAAATATTTCAGGATTATGTGTTAGAGCCTTGATTGCCATAAGGAAACAGTCTATGATTCTCTGCAGCAAAGGCAAGAGCTCTGTATCTGGTTGGCCTTATCAGTGTCAGGGTGCATAGATTGTGCAGCTTTGGTAAAAATGGCATCTATTATTTAGAAGGCTGACTTATGGATGGCAAAGTATGAGATCTTGTAAATATCCCAGCAGATGCCTGAAAGGAGTCAGAGGTGAAGAAATTCAGGACCTTAATAGTCACTGGCAGTTTGTTTAAATTCTTCCATTATTTATAAAAAGAGTTTTGAAGTCATTGTGGCAAAGTTAAAAATGCGGCAGCTAATTTGTGCAGACCAAGCTGACCCAAACAGAATATGATAGTGGCCATATAATTTGCTTTTGGGATCTTGATTGGGGAAATAAAGTTGGTCAGGAGACCAAGGAGAACTCCTATGCTTTTCTTGGCAATAGTGCCACTGAATTTTTAACATTTGATGGGGCAGAGGGGGCCTCAGTTTATTATCTTTGACAATGTAGAATTACATCGGTATTGACTGGATCATATCAGTCTTGATTTTTGCACTCATCTCCTAGAGTGGGACTCAAAACCATTCCTCCACACCAGGCACCTTGCTATTTAAGTAACTGCTGCCAGAGTGGGGTCCAATGTTTTCATGTAGGGCTACACTTCAATTTTTCTCTCATTCAGTGATTTGTGAATAGACTACAGAAAGGTAAGGTTTGCTACAACAATAAACATGAATTTCGGAACAAAAACATTCCAAAGCAAGAAGTTAAGACCAAAACCCATATTTCAGCCTTGAGCATACATAATGATCAGCGTTGACAGCCCTCTTCAGTAAAGAATTCCACCAATTCCCTACCCTCTAAGAAAATAAATTCCTGTAAATTAATGCTCTATCTTTGTCTTATGCCCTCATTATCTCCTGATTTATTTTATGTCTCACCACATAGCCATTGTTATGGATCCTATAGACTACTCCTAATAGCGTCTTCCCTCCCCTTTGTTATTTCTTACCTCCACCCATGTGGATTCTATGTCTTCCAATCCAAGATCATTTCTTGCTATCACACTTATTCCATCCTGTACCAACAATACCCCACTTTCCTGCCCACCCATCTTTTTGTAAAGTCACATACTCCTGAGTATTTAGCTCCCAGCTTTGATCTCCTTGTAACCATATCTCTGTAATGGCTGTAAGATCATACCCATTAACTTGTATATGTGCAAAGTTAATTAATTTATTTTGTTCTGATAACTCTACACATTCAAGTAGAGAGCCATTAATTTTCCCTTTTCATTGTTTTTTTTCCTATTCTGACCCTAATTACTGCTGTTTTTTTCATTGTACTCTGTCCCTTTCAGTCCCACTCTGGATATCATTATCCAAATAGCTGCCCTCTCCACAGCCCAGTTATTTGATACGCCAGGACACTAGTTCTAGCATAGTTCAATTAAAGCCCATCCCACTGGAATGGCTTCCTTGTACTCCAGTACTGATGTCAGTGCCCCATGAACTGAAACCCATTCTATCCACACCATTCTTTGAGCCATGCATTTAACTCCTTGACTTTATGCCAGTTTGCCTGTGTCTCAGGTCATAATCCACAGATTATTTCTTTGGAGGTTCTGCTTTTTAATTTAGCTTCCAACCGTTTAAAATCTTCCAGCAGAACCTGCTTTCTAGTCCTGTTGTTGGTACCAACATGAACGGTGACAAGTAGATTGCTCCCCTCCCTCTCTAATTTCTTCTCCAACACTTAACCCTGGCACTGGGCAGGCAACTTAGCCTTCAAGACTCCTGCTCACAACTGCAGAGTACAGTGTCTATTTTTTCAATAATACTCTCACTCACCACTATTTCATGCCCCCACTTGAATGGCTCCTTATAATCAAATTGCCATGGTCAGTTTGCTCATCCTCATTGGAGAATTATTGGAAGTACCTCTGCAATTTTCATTCTTAGTATCCATCAGTATCCTTGGCTACATCTTTGCGCCTGGTTCTTTATCAACTTTTAAGTCCACATAGACAGTCTGCTGTCTCATTCTTATTAATCATGTATCCTTTCATGTATTAATTACTTTCTCTTTCATGATGACCTGGGTAGTGTCTTCTGCTTTATTAAAGATAAATGCAAAGTATTCATTTAATACCTCAGTTGTGCCCCTTGCCTCTATGTGAAAACACCTTTTTAGTCCCTAATCAACCCAGTTCTCCTTTTACTGCATTTTTTTTGCCTAGACTTTTATGTTAACTGCTGTTCTCTTTCCATACCCTCTCTTTGCTTCTTTTGTTTGCTTTTTCACTTTACTTCTGTACATTCTATTTTCAGCCTGGTTCTCTGTTGTATTATCCACCTGACATCTGTTGTGTTTTCTTCCTCATCATAGTTTCTACCTCTTTCATCATCAAGATAGTCTTGATTTGTTTGTTCTACCTTTCTGCTTGGTGGTAATTTACTTTGTGTCCAAACTATCTCTACTTTGAAGTTAGCCCATTGTTCAGGTATAGTTCTTCCTGATCACCTTCAGTTCTGATTTATCTGGGTCTGATCCACATCTTGACTGCAGGAAAACCAACTTCAATGGATCAGAAAGTTGGCTTTCCTGCTGTTAATTATTCTTTCACTTGATCCTTCCTTGTTCCTTTCTAAAGTCAATATAAATCTTTACATCAATCAATGTCTCTGAATTGTTCCCCAGTTGACATTTGATTGACTTGGCCCATATACCAGGTCTAGCAATACCATCTTTCTTGCTGGGCGAGTAGAAATTGTAGAAACTTTTCCTGAGCACAATTTAGGAACTCCCTTCATCCCATCAACATTTGGAAACTTAGCTCCACTGCATCCACCTGTACTCCATCCTTCCATTCCACCAAATCTGTTTTATTTGTTCCGTGACTCTGTAACTTCAATGATTTACTTGATGCTTTGAGTATTTTGTGAGCTTTATTTATTAATTTTAATCGCTTTGGTGATATTCTATGTGGTGTGTTTAACTTTTTTATGATTCCCATCTATTTAGCCTATTATGTTTACCCTTTCTCTGTTCTTTTGTTTTATTGATTGAGCTCCATGTTTTAGCTGTCTTACATTTTATTTTTTATTCTGTGGTGCCTGTGTAATTTCTTGTTCCAAGCATTCAATTTATTTTCTTACGTGAATTACCTGTTTTATATTTATTTTCTATTTCTGTGCATTTTATATTTAATTTCTTGGTCAGAATGTTTGATCAGTTTTATTATTTATTGATGTCTGTGTGTTTTAGCTGTTTTGATTTAATAATCATTCTTTGCATTTTTTTGTGTTTAATATTTTATTTCTTGCACCATGTTTGATCTATGTTATATTTTGTTCTTTGATTTGTACATTTTAAAAAAATCTGTTTTACATGTTGTTTTGAGTTCTGTGCAATTCAATTTTAGATTTTATCACTTATTTTTAGCACTGTTGAGTTGATTGTGACTTTGCAATTATGTCAACATTTCTCCTGACTTGTTATACAATTAATTTCTCATTCTAGGAGTAATATCTTTCTTTATAATCTATTCTAACTGTGCGTTTCTTTAGAATGTTTGGTTTATTTTTTTCTTGCTCTCTTGGTTTAATTTTTTTAAAAACTCGTTATTGGGCTATGATTCCTTCTCTATTACTCCAAACTGCAGTTTGTAGTTAATTGAGTGACTTTGATGCAATAAGGAAGGAATGCTATGTTATCAAAGATGCTGTGTTCAGCTGCAGATGTTAAACTGTCTGCTAATCCATGGGAACAGAAAAGATCCCCTGATACCATCTGAAAGCATCTTTGCCCTGTACCAACAGCCCAGAAAATACATTAGCTTCATTTTTTAAGGCACTTACTTGTATTCATGAGTATTTATAGTGGACAGTGTTAACAATGGTGATATTTCAAATGTTATTAATTCATTGTAACAGTGCATTTGGGTCAGCCTGACGATTTGGGCAGAAACAATTTCCTTTTGTGATTTTTATTTTGCCATGAAGATGATTCAAAGCCAGTGAAGCAGCGGCGAGCTCGAGCTAACTACAGCAGCTGGCAGCTGGAAGAGCTGGAGAGAGCATTCAAGACAACTCAGTATCCAGATATTTTCATGAGGGAGGCCCTGGCACTCAGATTAGATCTCATCGAGGCCAGAGTTCAGGTACAGCTTCCAGAAACATTTAAACCCACGAGTGTAGAATGACAGCATCAACAGAGTGCAGAAGCGAGAGGTGAAAGCTTCTGAGCAGTGGGGAAGCCAGGGTTCAAAAGAATAGGAACATCAGAGCATGTGTGAGCAAGCAATGGAGAATGAGCGTGAGAGGAAGGGAGAGAGATAAAGGAGGGGCGAGGGATGAGGGACCGTGCAGGAGAGGAGGAGGGAATGGAAGGGGAAGGAGTGCAGGAGATGGGGAGGATGTGTGTGCGAGGGTAGGTAAGTATAGATACAATGAAGGAAATGGGGGGGGGGCCAGGGGGGGAGGGGGGGGGATTGGAGTGAAGGGGAAGGAGTGTGGGTTGGGATGGTCTGCAGGGTAGGGGAGGGAATAAGGAGTATGGAGTGACAGGGAGATGGAGGGAGTGATGGCAAGTGGAGGAAGTGTGGTGGAGGAGAATGGAGTGAGGGGAAGAGGGTGCACTGGAGAGGGAATGGAGTGAGGGAACGGAATGGATTGAAGGGGAGGGGAGAGAGTGTTGGGGAGGTGGGGTAAGTGTTAAGTGGGGGTCCTGAGGGGGTGGGGATGGACTGAGGAGGAGAGATCAGGGGTTGTGGTTTGGGGAATATGGAAGCAGGAAAATGCTTAAGGGACAATGGAAATTTCTTGATGCAGAAGTGTGAGGAAGATGAAGCTGGGAAAATACTGAAGCGTTAGATTATTGTTAATACTATTGAAGGTTGCTGTGTCTTAGGATGTTGTGTAGTTTATAAACATCACACCTTCCAGCTCACAACCTGCACCTGCTGAATTCTACCCTTCATTCTGACAGGTCTTAAATTACAGTTTCATTCAATGTTTTGACACTTCATGACAACATACTTGTTTTCTTTCATAAATTACTGTTGGATCTTTCTGAGGTGATAATATTAAACAGGATAATATTAAAGAGGATAATATTAAAGAGGATAATATTAAACAGGATAATGTTAAACAGGATAATGTTAAAGAGGATAATATTAAACAGGATAATGTTAAACAGGGTAATATTAAACAGGGTAATATTAACGTGAGGTTGTGATTTGACAAGTTTCACCCAAATCACCACCACCCTGCACCCCCTCCCCCCACCCCCCCCCCCCCCCACATTCAGCGTAGCCCTCTCCCACCACCTCCGTCTTCACCTCTCCTATCCTCTCCCCACACAACCCATTCCCCACATTCAGCCTAGTCCTCCACCCGCACCCCCGCCACTTCCCTGTCCACCTCTCCTGCCCCCTCCCACTCCCACATTCAGCCTTGCTCTCTCCCACCACCTCCGTCTTCGCCTCTCCTACCCTCTCCCCACACAACGCATTCCCCACATTCAGCCTAGCCCTCTCCCACCACCTCCCTCTCCACCTCTTCTTGCCCTCCCCTCCCCCGCAATTCAGCCAGACCCTCTCTCCTACCCCATCCACCCCTCTCTACACGTTCCTCAAAATAACGATGAGAAAATGATCTGGTTCATTAATATTGATTCAGGAATTAACATTGAGAGATCCACCTCCGTCCCAGTCTACATTGAAATAATAAGGGATGTTTTACAGTCAGAGTGGCCCTTAGCCCAAGTGACTGTGCAGTACACTCTCAATGCTGAATTCAAAAACAATATAAGTTGGCAACGTTTACCTTTATGCCCAGTTTAATGATCAGCAAATTGACTGAGGACTTCATTCCACAGGTTTGGTTCCAGAATCGCCGGGCTAAAATGAGGAGACAGTTGAAAATCCAGGGCAAATCCAGGGAGAAGAGCAGAGACCAGGATCCCAGCAGCTGTCCTGTTCAGGAGGAGAAATGTGACCGATCAGAGATAAAAACCGACAACCACAAGATGGAGAAAGCCAGCTACCCCTGGCCAGGATCGCAAGCTGACCGTAGGGAGGTCACGGTCGCTGCCCCTTTCCACACAGTGGTCCGGGGAATCAGAGATAGTTCCAGCCCCAGTCCTAGTCCGGAAGAGATCCGCAGCTGCAGCATTGCCACACTTCGAGCGAAGGCCAGGGAACATGAGGCTGAGATACACAGTGGGGCGGCTAAACCTCTGTCTGTCTCTCAGTCCTCTTCTCCAGAGCATCAGGGAGTCAATGATGAGGCCATATAGTACAGTCTGTAACAGAGGTGGGGGTACTGGAAAGTACTGAGCTCCTTTATCATACACAAAAAGGTTACGCACTCAACAATTGGCGCCCACAGAGAGGGCTTGTAAAGCAGAGAAAGTTGGAGATTGTGTAACTAACAGATTAATTGACACAGAGATACAGGCTCTTTAATACAGGGAGTATACGACACAGTGATTGTAACATATTGAGAGGCTGTATACACAGATACTGTTTAATACAAAGGGTTTAACGAGACAGAAATGGTATCACGGAGTTTGTATAATTGAAACTGTTTAATATGCAAAGACTGCATAACACACAAAGAGACTGCATAACATGGACAGTAGCATAATAGCTGTTCAAGAAGTTGTTTAACTGTACACCAGAGAGAGGTAACACAGGGACAGTACAAGACACAGAGACTGTAGTACAGTCTGTCACACATATAAATTAAGAGATTGTAACACATGGAGACTGTGTAACAAAGAGAGACAGACAATGTAACAGCTACTTAAGTTTTAAATATTTACTGAATAGATCTGTAGCAGTACAAATAATGTTACTGAAGGAGGAATAATACATGGGCTGTAATCTGATGATGAAGAAGACATTAGGCATGTGTTTATGATTCTTAGCAGGTCATAATGTTAAGGATACTGATGGCAAAACTTCAAAAATAAACATCAAGTAATGTTCACTTGGGGATAACAGGAGCACACCGTCTGAGAGCTGTGGTACAGTTTACAGCCCTGGGCTCAGCTGTTGATCTGTGGCCAAGGGCATAGTTTCTTTCTCATCACACACATTAGATGCTTAGATGAAATTCCTTTGTTTCATGGTTCAATCCAAGGTGAGATGACTGGACTGTCCTCACCCAGAATATGTGGAATTAGATGTCAAATAAAACATGATCTGCAGAATGAAGTAGCTGCAAAGAGTCCATAATCCACAAGGAATAAGGTTTAATTACTCAGTAAAGTCCTTTAGAACTCCCTGTTACTTTAGTTGCTCAATGCACTGGGTGATTCTCAGCCATCCCGCAGAAAGGACTGACTGCATGCAAATTGACTGCTACATTTCTTCCTTTACAACAGAGACTGCACTTCAAAAAAAATGTAATAGTAAAACACTTTGGGATGTGCTGATGACATTAAAGGTGTGATATGAATCTCCTTTAATTCATTCATTGGATGTGGCATCGCTTGTACGGGCCAGCATTTATCGGTCATCCCTGTGGCCCTTCAGAAGGTGGTGCTGAACTGCCTTCTTGAACTGCTGCAGTCCATGTGCTGTAGGTAGACCCACAATGCCCTTAGGAAGACAGTTTTCAGAATTTTAGTGCAAAGATGGTGCAGGAACGATAATCTCTTTCCAAATTGGGTTTGGATGTATGGCTTGGAGGGGAACTTGTAGGTGGTCATTCATTTCTTGTCTTTGTGGTAGAAGTCATGAGTTTGGAATATGTTATTAAAGGAACCTTGGTAAATTGCTGTAGTGCATTTTGTAGATGGTACACATTGCTGTCTGAAGTGTTGATGGTGGAGAGAGTGGATGCTGAAGATGGGGAATGCAGTGCCAATCTAGCAGGCTGCTTTCTCCTGAATGGTATTGAGCTTCTTGAGTGTTGTTGGAGCTGTATTGATCTAGGCAAGTGGAGAAATCCCATCACATTCCTGATTTGTGCTGATGGTTTACAGGTTTTGAGGAAGATAGGAGAAGTGAGTTACTCACTACAGGATTCCTAGCCTCTGACCTGCTCTTGTAGCCATTGTATTTATGTGGCTAATCCAGTTCACTTTCTAGGCAATGGTCAACCCAGGTTGTTGATAATGGGTGATCTAGCAATGGTAATGCCATTGAATGTCATAAGGAAATGGTTAGAATTCTGTCTTTTTGATGGTGGTCATTACTTTGTATTCGTGTTATGTGAACGTTATTGCCGCTTGTCTCCCAAGTCTGAATGTTGTCAAGATGTTCCTGCATATGGAAACAGGCTCCTTCAGTTTCTGAATGTTGTGAATGGTGCTGTTAGAGAACGTACCCATGTCTGATCCTATGATGAGAGGAAGTTCTTTGATGACACAGCTGAAACTGTTTGGGCCTAGGACACTACCCTGAGAAATACTTTTAAAGATTGCCTGGGACTGAGATGATGGACCTCCAACCACCGCACCCATTTTCCTTTGCGCTAGGTATGACCCCAACCAGGGGAGCATTTTCCCATGATTTGCACTGGCTCAAGCTTTGAGAGGCCTTCTCGATCCCATATTCAGTTAAATGTTGCCTTGGTGTCAAAGGCAGTCACTCTCACCTCACCTCTGGAGTTCAACTCTTTTGTTCATGTTTGGATCAAGGCTGTAATGAGGCAGGAGCTGAGTGGCCCTGGGAGAACTGAAACTGAGCATCAGTGAGCATGTTATTGCTGAGCAAATACAAATTGATAGTACTCTGGATGACTCCTTCACTTTGGGAGTAACACTTATTTGGCAGTAACTGGCTACGTTGAATTTGTCTCGCTCTTTGTGGACAGGACATACCTGGATAATTTTTCACATTGCAAGGTGAATGCCAGTGTTGCAACCATATTGGAAAAGATTGATTTGGGACATGGTTGATTCTAGAGTACAAGTCTTCAGTACTATTACCAGAAAGTTGCTAGGGCCCATAGCCTTTGCAGTATCCAGTGTCTTCAGGCATTTCTGGAGATCATGAAAAATGAATTAGAATGATAGAAATCTGGCATCTGTGATGATGGAGACCTCAGGATGAGGCTGAGTTGGATCATCAACTTGGCACTTATGATTGAAGAAGGACGAAAATACCTCAACGTTATCTTTTGTACATTTGTGATGTACAGGGCCCCCCATCACTGAGGTTGGGGATAATTGTGAAGCTTCTTCTCCCTGTTCATTGTTTATTCGTCGACCGCCATTCAGGACTGCATGTGGCAGGACTGCAGAGCTTAGATCTGATCTGTTAGCAGTGGGATTGCTTAGCCCTGACTATTGCTTCCTGCTTTTGCTGTTTGGCACCTGTGTTGTATCTTCATGTTTCATTTATAGGCAGGGCTTTTGCTGCACCTGGCATGACCTCCTGACTTCTTCATTAAATCAGGGTTGGTCCCCCGAGATGATGGTAATGGCAGAATTGTGTAAATGCTGGACCATGAGCTTACAGATTATATTTGAGTACAATTCTGTAGCTGCTGCTGGCCACGGTGCCTTACGAAAGCTCCCATTTGCTAGATCTGTTCAAAACCTATCCCCATTTAGCATGGTGATTGTGCTACATATCATAGTGGAGGGAATCCTCAATGTGAAGATGGGACTTTGTTTCCACATGGACTGTGCAGTGGTCAATCTTACTGATACCGTCATGGACAGATGCATTGGTGATACGCAAAGTAGTGAGAATGAAAATATATATGTTTTACCCTCTTGGTGGTTCTCTCATTACCAACCAGAGACCTGGTCTAATAGCTAGATCCTTGAGGAATTGGCCTGCTTGCTTTGTATTGGTGCTACCTAGCCATCTTGCTGATGGTTACTGAAGTCCCCCACCCAGAGTACATTCTGTATCCTTGCTATCCCCAGTGCTACTTCAGACTGTTGTTCAACATTGACAAGAATTGATTCATCAGCTGAGACAGGGTTGGTTGGTGGTTTCCTTGCCCATGTTTAACTTGATGCCATGAGTGATCATGGGGACTGGGTTTAATGTTCAAATGTTAAGGCCAACTCCCTCCCAACTGTATATATTATATTTAGGGCAGCACGGTTGCTCAGTGATTAGCTCTGCTGCCTCACAACACCAGGGACCCAGGTTCAATTCCACTCTCAGGCGACTGTCTGTGTGGAGTTTGCACATTCTCCCCGTGTCTGTGTGGGTTTCCTCCAGGTGCTCCAGTTTCCTCCCACAGTCCAAAGATGTGCAGGCTAGGCAGAATGGCCATGCTAAATTGCCCATAACGTCCAGGAATGTGTGGGTTATGGGGGGATGGGTCTGGAAGGGATGCTCTCAGGGTTGGCATGGACTTGTTGGGCTGAAGGGCCTGTTTCCACACTGTAGGGATTCTATGATATTGTGCCACCAGCTCTGGTAGGTCAGTCTTGCTGGAAGGACAGGATATACCAAAGGATTGTGATGATAGGCAAGGGACATTGCCTGAAAGGTATGAGTCTTTACATTTGTCTATGTCACACTATTGCTTGACTAGTCTGTGGAACAGCTCTGTCAATTTTGGCACAGCCTCCAGATGTTAGTAAGGAGGATCCTGCAGGATCATCAGGGCTGCAGTTGCCATTGTCATTTCCAAATCTTAGGTTGGTGCAATGTGATCAGTCTAATTTCATTCCTTTTCTTCAACTTTGATGTAGCTTGATATGACTGCATACCTTGTTAGTCCATTTTTAAAGGGTATTTAAGAGTCAACTACATTGCTGAGAGTCTGGAGTCACATGTAGGCCAGACCAAGTAAGGATGCATGGTTTCCTTCTCTAAAGGACATTCATGAACCAGATGGGCTTTGACAATAATAGGCAGTGGTCACCATAAACTAGCTTTTAATCCCAGATTTAATCAACTGAATTCAGAATTTTGCTGTTTGTCACAATGGGATTTGAACTCACACATCCAGAACATTCATGTGGATTTCTGGATCATTAGTCCCAATGTACCACTGTCTCCTATTGTAAATATTTTCCTAATCAATCTGTTCAGAGATGTCATTACACACCTCTGCAGCAAGTGGGACTTGAACCCAGGCCTCCTGACTCAGAGGTAGGGACACTATCACTGCACCACAAGAGCCTTACTGCCGCCTCTGTTCTCTTTCAATTAATCAAGCTAACCAGCAGCTGGCTGCTCCTTAACTATTGTCCCATCTTGCCACCTCCTACATGTCCTTTGCTGTAAGCCTGGGAATGATTGGTAAGAGCAGATTTATTCATGACTGTGATATCTCCCACGGACAAATACCCAGCTAACACTGATGAGCTGGGGT